CCCTCTGCAGGACCTAGCTTAAATGCCGCCCGATAGGTCGGTGCATGAAAGAAGGATTGCTGCCTAAATACACACACACACACATATATATATATATATGTTGATAATATTAGTGGTTAATATACATACATACATACATACATATATATATATATATATATATATATATATATATATATGTATGTATATATAAATTCCAAGAGGATAGAATCCAGGTAGAACTCAATGTCCAGTACAGAGTACGATTCCAATGTAATAAATTATAACCATGGAATATTAGTGTTTGAGCCTTTTCTCACTTCGTTAATTTTACGTATACTTGATGAGGTCCGTCAAAAACGCGTGAATTTCTTTTCATTTTTCATTTCAGCTTTTGGAAGTAAAGTCTGATGATCCAGAACCCTGTTAAAGGGTTATGGTGAAATAGCTTATTACATGGGGTCTTAACGTGGTCTGTCTTTTATTCAAACAAATATATATATATATATATATATATATATATATATATATATATATATATATATATATATATATATAAGCTTTAAAGATATATATATATATATATATATTTGTGTATTTAGACAGCAATCCTTCTTTAATGCACTTTTCATTGAATACGACAGACAAGGTACTTCGATTTAGTTTTTTATACAATTTTTCATGTGATAATATTTTTTGATAAATTGTATAAAAACTGTCCGAATGGTCTTTTTATCCGAGCGCTTTCGGCTATTCATTTAACCATTTTCAAGGATGAAATATTTTAACTTTAAAATAAGAAATAGTTTGTTGCATGTATATAATGTTTTATTTTTTTTTAAACACGGCCAAGATATTGTGTCCATGTTCATAGTTGATATTATTGTGATTTTTTTTGTTTTTATTAATAAGGCTTCCATTATTTTCATCCTTTTTTGCATGTACATGATGCCGTTATATTTGTGTTGTCAACATTTGAACTCTGTCGAAAATCTTTGAAGTATCGTCGAAAGACGCCTTTTCATTCCTGCTATCGAAATAGATTGAAAATCAGAAAGAAAAGAATTCTCAGTAACTACTCAGTCATCAATACAATAATTGCTGATAGAATAAGTATATATATATATATATATATATATATTGCTTTAGTAATGAAATTAATCATTCACTCGCCAGTAATTTACAATAATCTGAGGAGACGCATTGATATGCGTTGAAACACGATTGCCATTGTGTAGCAATTTTTAATATGATTTTGTCTTAATATCCTAAAATAAATAATATTTTGCTCTACTCTGTAATGAGCCCTCTTTTAAATTGAATGTTACGAACGTTGGAATTTTACTTTATTCATTATCATCTTTTTTTTTCTTTTTTCCCCCGCATGTGATCTAATACTGAACAGATGTTATAGTTTAGGGCTGGTTATTTGCCACGATTAGGGTTGTAGAATGTTTGCAGAAAGCTTTTGTGGAAACTGTATTCTTTGAGTAAACCCAACTTCCTGAATACTGAAAGAATACAGCATCCAGAAACCCTTTTTTCCAACCCTCTACAGCCCGAATCATAGCAAAGAACTAGCCCCAAACTATCAGATCTCTTCATTAATTTAATACACGCAGAAAAAAAGTAACAAGGCCTAAATAAATAAAAGAAATTCCTACGGAAAAAAGTTCTCGGTGAAAAAATACACGGGCGATTTTTAAAATCTTTTTCATGATATTCCATTTGGTCAAAAGAACTACTGATATACAATAAATATTATTAGTTTCATTATATATATATATATATATATATATATATATATATAGCCTATATGGGTTCTATAGCCTTGGATTGCAACTAGTCTCTGAATTCAATACCTGCAGAGGGTCGTTTGAGGGCTCTGTATTCGACCCTTCAAAAAGTGTGATTGGTTCTGCACAAAGCCTTCACCACTATAATCAAATATCATGTACTGATGTCGGGCTGTCGGTTTCACCTGAGCGAGAGAGTTAAGGTGACAGGGACAAGTACAGGATTAAAAACTGAATTGAAAGACACTCATAAGCCGAAAACGACGGGAGAGTTCATCATATATATATATATATATATATATATATATATATATATATATATATATATATATATATATATATATATATATATATATATATAGATATAGGCACGTCAGGCTATATGACGGTTCCGTATAAGATACAAGCTCGAATCCTGTCGAAGGACGAATATTTTCTATGAAAGTTTCTCGGACATTCACACCGGTAAATGTTATTTAATACTGTTTATTATAAACAGAGCATTTACCTAAATATTTTTATCTATAAAAGAATGTTAAACATAAAATGTCTTTAAATAATTGTCGGACTTTGTCCATTTCATCATATATATATATATATATATATATATATATATATATATATATATATATATATATATATATATATATATATATATATATATATATATATATATATTAGCATGTTACTTATGTTCTTTCGTTTTTGTATGAACTGTGAATGATCTTGAAGAATAATCTCCCGTAGCATTTTCTTTTGTTCTTAGTGGCTTTGTTCATCATGTGAAACTGTTGTCTGGCGTTATGGAAATTTTATTTCAGATTTAGACACCCGTTTGAGATGAAAACCCAAGTAGACAAGAATGAGCATGTTTGACATCTCTTTGCTTTTAATCATGTTCAAAAAGCAGCTGGAGACATTTGCGATGCGTACGGATATGACGTCACTACATGCAGTATGATATGAAATGTTTTAAAACAATCATATGGTCAATAGTAAGCTGTAGGTTAAACAAATGACCTGGCTCAAAGAGGTAATTCGACTGAAAAGACCTGACCGGCTATACAGTGTGATTATTCAACATGGTAATACTCGACCCCCCCCCCGACCCCGGCGTCGCTAACCCGACCAAACATGCAATTAAAGAGCTCGGTTGGGAATTTCTGCCACACTCACCATATTCTCTTAATTTACCATCTTCCTTTTACGATCAATTTCTAACAGTTTGTAGGATGTTCCGTTCAACAATGAGACGAACCTTAAAACGTGGCTTGATATTTTCCAGCCCAAACACTGTGATCTCTATTGTCGAGGCAGTTAGTCGATCTTTGGTAGGAGTTCGTAAACAATAAAGGAAAGTACCTTGTTGAATGGTTTGTCGGAACTATTAATAAATACATATGTATTAAGATAAATTATAATAAAAAACGAATATATATATATATATATATATATATATATATATATATATATATATATATATAGTCGACTCCCCTCCCCGTCGAATTCGACGTATGAGGGTCAAGCAGATCAGTTCAGTAAACCGACAGCATGACAACAGCACAAGAGATTTGATTATAGTAATGAAGGTTTTGTGCATGACCATCCACACTTTTTGAAGGGACGAATACAGAGACCTGGTGCACCGAATGCCACAAAGTCTCCAAACGACCCTCCGCAGGTTTTGAATTCAGAGTTGTCCTTCTCCTAGACCAGTTGCTATCCAAGGCTATAGAACCCAGTCTGGGGGGTGGGGAGAAGAAGAGGATTCACACTTTTCCCAAGGGTATTAGCATGTAAGTGAATGTAATGGATTCGACTGGAATTCGAACTCGGCTCTCAATCCAAGCCGCTATACATTACTCCACCGTGCCTACATATATATAAATGGAATATTTGAAAAAAATGTTGAATTTTGCCACTACTTGATCTGAGCATTCCCAGGCAATTTTTTGTGAGAATTTTCAAAACATTTTGAAAATTGGTCATGTAAAATAGTAACAATTAGAAAAAAATAACTTTTCACAATCAGTTGATTTTCACATATATTTATCGGATATTTGCCATCAATGATTTACTATATACACACAATTTGCTCGGCTCAGCTACAAATAATGGCGATTCTATCTTATAACATCGGGTGTTTATTGGCATAATATGGCATATATAGCATAATAACTGTACAATTATGCATAGAAAACCGATCCGTGTGTAATCATAGTACTCCTTTCAGAGTATTCTTGTTTTGTCCTGAATGTCCAATTCACGATATTGTTCGTGAATATGAGTCCTATAGTCACGTTACTGTTGAGCTCTGATACTTTACATCTACTCTACAGAGAACGTGTGAGTCACATAATATTCAACAATTTTATGAAGACAACTTATGTTTTTCTGGGGGTATTTTTTTTTTCGGTATGGCTGGCTTTCAGATCTTTGCTAGCCTCAAAAATGGTGTTTATAAACTGGGATATGATTTGATGTAGTTAGGTTCTTATCAATCACTGATGATCATGTCTCTTTCATTATGTATTTCCGAAGGGCGCTTATTTTCTTTAATAAGCTTTCTCTAATCTTCAGATCGATAGACGAAAATAAATAAATGTACTGTTTAATAAAGAAGCGGACCGTCTACTCAAATATAAGTATTCACTAAAAATAACGTCCAGAGAGATAAACAAAGGAGCATAGTTTGTAGACAATCTATTTTAGGTGTTATATTTTGGCATAAAGTTATTTCTATGTGTATTTATCGTACTTGACGGCATTCAAGACCCCCTCTCTTTGCCTTTAACATGACAGTATTTGAAAGTAGGCTAGATTTTTACAGCCTACGTCGTCTGGGTATACAATGTCCACTCAGATAGCTCCACTTCGTATATTAGAACCGACAGACAATTTTTTTATCTGTTTTCATGGAACAAAAAGGGGTCTTGTATGCCATCGATTACTGCAAGTTGTGTTTTCCAATATAATTGGTTTCGCCAGCGTTCAGACGAGCGGGTTTGTTAGAAGAGGAGACTCAGGAAACAATAGATAAATCGTTCTATCCAAATATTTGTGTCGACTAGAAGAGAAGGTGGTGAGAAGTAGAGTTCGTCAGTGAATTCGAGAATAGCAGACATATATAGATATTTAGATATTTCTATATAGAAACTGACTTGATTTATGTTTTCGCTTTTGAAGTGTTGACGATTGTGTATATACGTCCGTACACGTAGAACTATGGAAGCAGAAAAGGGTCAGAAGATCAAAATCGCTCTCTTCCTTTTTATCTGGTTTCTTTCTGACCTTTGTGTTTCTCATTCAAACATCATCTGCAGACAGTGTCGAGCTGAATCAATAGATGTCTGACACAGAGAATATACAAAGCGGATTCTTTGCGATTGGAATTCTCGTTTAGAATACTATTTGAATAGATAGTTCCTGTGTAGTTGCGAATGGAAGTATTTATCAAGGGCAAAGTTAATTGACTAGAATTAGGAGCAATAACATCGAGGTTTCGAAATGATATTTGTTTTGGGGATTATTCTTTTTTTTTTGTCTTCTTCTATTTGACTCTCCGCAAGACCATACCAAAAATGAAGTCGCTCCACAAGACCATACCAAAAATGAAGTCTCTCCTGAAGACCATACCAAAAATGAAGTCTCACCGCAAGACCATACCAAAAATGAAGTCTCTCCACAAGACCATACCAAAAATGAAGTCGCTCCACAAGATTATACCAAAAGTGAAGTCTCTCCGCAAGACCATACCAAACATGAAGTCTCTCCGCAAAACCATACCGAAAATGAATTCTCTCCTGAAGACCATACCAAAAATGAAGTCTCTCCACAAGATTATACCAAAAGTGAAGTCTCTCCTGAAGACCATACCAAACATAAAGTCTCTCCGCAAGACCATACCAAACATGAAGTCTCTCCGCAAGACCATACCAAACATGAAGTCTCTCCACAAGACCATACCAAAAATGAAGTCTCTGCTAAAGACCATACCAAACATAAAGTCTCTCCGCAAGACCATACCAAACATGAAGTCTCTCCGCAAAACCATACCGAAAATGAATTCTCTCCTGACGACCATACCAAAATGAAGTCTCTCCGCAAGACCATACCAAACATGAAGTCTCTCCGCAAGACCATACCAAACATGAAGTCTCTCCGCAAGACCATACCAAAAATGAAGTCTCTCCTGAAGACCATACCAAACATAAAGTCTCTCCGCAAGACCATACCAAACATGAAGTCTCTCCGCAAAACCATACCGAAAATGAAGTCTCTCCTGAAGACCATACCAAAAATGAAGTCTCTCCTGAAGACCATACCAAAAATGAAGTCTCTCCGCAAGACTATACCTAAAATGAATTCTCGCCGCAAGACCACACCAAAAATGAAGTATTTCTAGCATATATGAGCCAAAGCTGTCCAGTCTTCACATTCCAGCCCTGACAGAGTTCCAAAGCGTTTACGTGATGAAATATTTTCCACTCTACAACCCCCCCTTTCTTACAGATGCAACGTCGCAATGCTATCGCTATTTCCATAAAAATGTTCTGACGACGTACATTCCTTAGTTTCTCCGGTTTACAAATTTACAGCTAAGACCCCACCCTACCATAAACACAGGGGCAAAGCATCTTTTCTCCTTTCTTATTAACTTGTTAAGAAGCGACTTCGATTTCTTTTCTTCCCGAGAGCTGCTACTTCGTTAAACCTGCTCCCGAGTGGATACTTCCTAGACCACTAGAATCTTAATATCTTAAAATCTAGAGTCAACCGTTACATATCCTCTGCATTTAATTCTTCCGCTTAAATATCTATCTACTTTGAGTGACTCTTGGGCCTTGTTTTGCGTGAACATGTCGCAAAAAAAAACAATATTTCCCTATCCATCACACCTCATGTTCTGTCATCCATTTATATAAGCCTATTAGAAAGGTTACTTTTTTTTTTAAGCATTACGCCCCGAGCAAGGCGTGAAGCCACTAGGATGCAGGGAGTTGCAGAAGATTTGGAGCAAGAGCAGATAGGAGTGATTAGAAGAAAGGATGAGGAGAGGGATAGTGGATAGATCAAGGTAACTGGAGGTGTCGATTGACATTACATAGGAATAGTTGGAGATTATAGCTCTCAGGGAAACAGTAATTGGGAAGGGTGTTCCACAGGCGAGAGGTGCGAGGTATAAAGCTATTGGAGTAGAAGAGATGGCTACATTTAAAAGTTTCTACAGTGTAGGGGTGGGAGCGGGATGCCAGCCTCGTAGGGCTCTTGAATTCATGGAGTCTGGAGTGAAAGCAGCTCATCGGAGCAATTACCATGAAAGTATTTGTAGAAAAGACAGAGAGAGGCGACGGCGTGTCTGTGAGAGAGTGACTGTAGACGAGACGCCAGATCAGGGCTAATTATATTACATATCCGTCTCTGGATCTTGTCAAAAACTCCGAGGTAAACAGAAGGTGCCCCAGACCATATATGGCAGCAATACTCCATGCAAGGGTGAATGGTTTGCGATTCTCTTAGTCTCTCTTCTATTCAATATTCCCTGTGATTGTCAGAAGCCCTCTTTCCTCATTATGTGTCCGGAAATATTAAATATAAGCATTTGGACAGTTCCCTCCACTTATCTGGGTTGAAAGCTGGAGGGTCATTCATTCAAGTAAGCGACTGCAGACGTGATACCAGATCAAGACCAACTTCGTTTTGATGAGAATGTGATAAAAATCACCAATGATGAAATCGAAGAAAGCCAATAATATGATAATAATAATAATAAAAATAGCGTATATCTATACAGATCAACTAAAAAAAAAAAAACATTCCTTCGTTTTAATATCATAGTAAATGAGTTTTTATACAAGGTCATTCTACTAGTGTTATTGGTTATCATAAAATTAGTGTTATTGGTTATCATAAAACTAGTTTTAATATATTTTTCATTTCTGAAATTCTAGAATGAAGAGTTTTTTATTATTATTTAAACTATTTACATTCGGACATCTTTGTTGTTGTTGTCTAGGGATTTCTCGTCTAATTCTTCCGGACAACAGCCTCGTGCATTAAAGAATTGTTTCATAAATTTGCTTACATAGTTCAAAACCTGGGCCGGGCAGTGTGTACTTGGACTCAGTGGAAACGGGCGAAAAGTAACTGAGCAGTAGTAAAAATAAGAATTAGACAAGATATTCCTAGACATGCGCAATGGAAGGAGAACAATCTACCCCCGTAGATTTAATAAATGTTAAGAATTCCCTTGTAGGTTAACCCAGATCGATAGACACATGTTGAAGGCCGGAAAGCATAACGGTCGAAACGTTGTGATAACAGCAACAAAGATGAAAACAATAGTCTGAATCTAAATAGTGTAAATCGTTTTAATACATTTTTTGTTACAAAACCCTGTGTCGATACACTCTTCGGTCGTTAAAGTAAACATTTCTAAATTTAAAGACAAATAACAATACTGAAAATGTTTCATCCAAAAATATTAAAAAAAAAAAATACATTGATGCTTTCCGGGAGGATTTTCATCCTGTATGTTCTGATTAAATTAATTTTCATTTTTCTTTCTTTTAATGTTTTCCTGTTGAGAAAATGTAATCGCTATTCCATCGCCTGGTTTCAGAGACAATAAAAAAATAAAGATACACTTATATACGTCATTATGAATGTTCCAATGGCCGTTGGATTTAAGCTCCTTAACTATTCCGGCAAGACTTTATCTGGGTATTTTGTTGCATTGAAGGGAAGTCCGCCATCTTTAAAAGTAATCAATTAACTGCTGATGCTTTCAATTAACGGAGATTTCTGTGTTTCTATTTTCGCGCCTATAACAAAAGCAATCCACCCATGTTTGATCCCGAAGTTAGAGCGTGGCTCAACTAATGTGTTTGTCATATAAACAGCCCAAAGACTGGCTCAAGGGGAGGCATGCTTAGACAGTTGGCAGATAGATAAGCGTCAGACAAAAGAGATAAGAGTAAATATGTCACCAAACTAGGCGTAAATGTTTGTAGACTCAACAGTGAACAATATGAAACTTTGAGGTTTTTATGGCAAGTTTGTCTGAAATAAGAATGAACACTTGCCAAACAGCCGTCGATTCTCTTTAAGTAAATGCTTAAAAGATAATGAGACTGTGGAGTATGTCAGACATAGTTATTTTTTATAACATGAATAATTCGCTTGTTATTTATACTAAAGAAAATAAAAAGAAATGAAAAAATGCACGATTTGTAATATCAGGTTTATGAAGACGGAATTAAAAGCAATACTGAATTGCAAGCACGCTTCTCTTAATTCAAAACTAAGTTCAGTTAGTTATGTGCTATGCGTGATACACGCTTAGGCGATCATGTATCCTTCGATACATGGCTGACGAGGCTGATTTTTTTACCGCAGTAGTTTGCCATTACTTTCTGCGGTAAACAAGTTGCCATCCAAGGCTATAGAACCCGGTCTGCCCCGTTATTTACCCATAGCTGGGGGGGGGAGAAGAAGAGGATTCATACCTTTCCCAAGGGTATTAGCACGTCAGTCTGTCAGTTATGTGCCATGCGTGATACACGCTTAGGCGATCATATATCTTTCGATACATGCCTGACGAGGCTGATTTTTCCCGGCAGTAATTTGCCATTTCTTTCTGCGGTAGACCAGTTGCCATCTAAGGCTACAGAACTCGGCCTGTCCTAATATTTACCCATAGCTGGGAGAGAAGAGGATTCATACCTTTCCCAAGGGTATTAGCACGTAAGTGGATCTAGTGGATTCGACTGGAATTTGAATTCGGCTCTGCAATTCCTCAACCCGAGCCGCGAAAAAAAACAAAAAAACATTTAAAACAACATTGAATACAAAAACACTAAACAATAATTCCATAATTTATTCAGGCTTGTATTTTTATCTTTGTACATTTTATTACATAGTTTTAGCTATTTTCTCTACCTATGTTATAATTAGAGTTTAATCCACTGTCTTCTTGAACTCCATTCAACTTTTGTCCTATTCTCAGTCTTTTCTGTCATTTACACTCCCTGTAACCCCCTGTGTACTAGTGGCATTACCACCTTACTTGCGGGGGTGAAATGATTTAAAAAGAAAAATATTGAATACTTCCACTATTGTAATCATTTTATTGAAGGAAAGTTATCGTTCACAGTATGTAATTCATTTAAATTAGTCAATTACTAATGTAACATTAAAAAATTTGCATAAAATTTGCATAAAACTTGCATAAAAACACTAATCATTATCACATAAAAGACGCATTTTAATTTTGACTGACAAGGTTTGTTTATACAAGTTGCCATATTTGGTCTGCTGTACATCTTGAGATTCGAGACAAAATCTAAAGAAGGATCTGCAGCGTAATCGATCCTAACCAGGTATCTCAACTTCAGTCGCTTTCTCACCAAGATGACATAGCTTCCCTCTGTCTTTTCTACAAATATTTTCATGGCAACTGATCTGATGAGCTTTTTTCCTTAGTTCCCCAACTACATGAATTTAAGTGTGCTACTAGGTTGGCATCTATCTCCCGCCCATTTACTGTTGAAATAGCGAAATGCAACCACTACTTCTACTCCAACAGTTTCTTTTCTCGCACTTCCCACCTGTGGAACTATCTTCTGTTTATTTGCTTCCCTGATGAATACAATCTTCAAAATTTTAAATGCAATACCAATCGCCATCTGTCTTCTTAAACCCCGTTCATCTTTTGCCCTATCCTCAATCCACCCTATTCTCAGATTTCTCTTTCACTGTTAGCCCCTGCATACTAGCGGCATTACCACCTTGATTGGGGTGAAATGATAAAAAAAAAATCAGTTACATCTAAATAACCGCTCTTTTTTTCCACACAAAAATGAATTAATATTTATTGTCCGCGTCTTACGAGCAAATATGCACGCATACATATATATATATATATATATATATATATATATATATATATATATATATATATATATATATATATATATATGAATTAGGATCAAATACAGAGTCAATATGGATCGGAATCCGACTGTCAGATAGTCAATTATGTGGCATGCGTGATACACGCTTAGGCGATAATGTATCTTCCGATACATGACTGACGAGGCATAATATTAATCGCAGTAGGTTGCTATGTTTTTCTGTCGTAGACCAGTTGCCCGGTCTGTCCTGTTATTTACTCATAGTAAAGGTACGTGAAGGTAATGGATTCGACTGGAATTCGAACTCGGCTCTTCAATTCCTCAATCCGAGCCGCTATCTATTACTCTACTATGCCTCCCACTGAATCATCGGCTAGAGAACAAATAGGAAACGTTTATCAATCTGACATGTTTCACATT